AGTCAAAAACTAGGAAACGACTGTTTCTCCGAATGGCGTTCGGTTCGTCCAGGTGTTCCACAGGGAACCAAACTAGGCCCCTGGCTGTTTCTCGTTATGCTAAACGATCTCAGTGCGACACCTCGAGCGGTCTTTTCAAGTACGTAGCCGATATAACAGTCTATGAAATGGTGGAGAAAAAAAGGGACCTGTCATGCGCAGTCCATCCTCAATGAGGTGTCTGCTTGGTTTACTAACAACAAGGTCCAACTCCACCCCTTGTAAATGCCGTGAACTAAGGATAACCTTTCCACGATCTCCGACAAATCATAAACTTGTAGAAATCGATGGTTGTAAGATCAAAACAGTACAGGTAGGTAAGTTATTAGGCTTTTATATTTATAGCCTGAGTATCAGGCGTTTCTGGGAGGAAAGGGGGACGGATTATATTCAAGAAGAACTTAGGTGGAATTCTTAGGTAACAAATATGACAAAAAAAGCTGCCAAACGCTTGTATTTTTTAGTGCAACTAAAGCGTGCAAAAGTATCACCCGGAGAACTGGTTCAGTTCGATGTAGCTTGCATCCAGTCTGTTTTACTCCATGGCTGCCAGTTTTTTATTTTAGTCTTCCACAATATCTAAGTTTACAGTTTTGAACGGATACAGAAACGTGCTCTGAGGATATCGAGAACTTTTTCCTTGCGAAGTACACTACTCAGATGCCCTGTCACGTTCAGGCCTTGTTATGTTAGGGCAAAGAAGGGCAGCGCTGTGTAAAAAACTTTTTAACAAAATTGTAGAAAATCCAATTGATGTTTTGCACCCTCTCATACCATTCAACGAGGGACCTTCTAAGTACCTCAGGAACTCTAGATCATACTGTGTAAACCCATGCAAGACCAATAGGTGCCGTGATACCTTTATTAACAAATGCGCAGTTATTTTATAACAGTTCATACTTAGTCTAAGATTTTACATTTTCGTAGGTAGGATTCATATAGTTAGCATGCAACTAGTTTTGTAATAATATTTCATAATTTTTTTTTTTGCATTGTAAAACTTAGCAATTCAGTCCATACTCAGCATACTGCTAGTAAGGTATTCAATAAACCATTTTACTTCTACCTCTGAAAGCTACTCCACAGTCGTTATCGTTGGTCGATTGCCGGACTTTTATCGTGGCCCAAAAGGCTCAAACACAAATCAATTTCTCAAAACACGTAACAGTTTCCCAAAACACAAATCAGTTTCCCAAAGCACAGAACAGTTTCCAAAAACACAAATTGATTTTCCAAAACACAAATCAATTTTCCAAAACACAAATCAATTTTCCAAAACACAAATCAATTTCCCGAAACACAAATCAATTTCACGAAACACTTATCAGTTTCCGAGCCAAAAGACTGGACACTACCTTAATATGAACGAGATTTGAACGAGATAGCCTGGAAAGCAGAGTGACGAACTCGGGCCCAGGGTCTTTCGCATCCAATATGGCGACTATCTGAACGGGCTGTATTTTCATTGTTTTAAGCAGGCGTTAACGTGAAAAATGTTCTGCCAAAGCTGCTGTCAACAAGTTTTAGATGAATATTTGTACTGCTTTCAGTGTGGAATCAAGCTAGACACTGCTATACCTTCTGTTAGGCTATTATTATCAGCTGAAAACGTGACCGAGAAAGAAGAAATAGAGGCTTACTTTTATAGTGGGTTCAGTTACAGGGTTATTCTACTCTTCCTTGACAAGTACCATGACATTCCAATGTCTATGTCAACATTGAAAAGAAGGTTATGTGAATACAACCTTAAAAGGAATAAAGTGGATATAAATTTGCCTCCCGTTGAGAAATTAATCCGAGACGAGATGGATGGCTCAGGAGGCATTTGTGGTTAGAGAGGAGTTTGGCATATGCTTCGTATAAAGTATGGGCTGTTTGTCCCTAGGCAAGAGGTAGAATCCCTGATCTGAACGATAGACCCAGCTGGAGTGGAAGAGAGGAAGCGCCACAGGCTAAAAAGAAGGAAGTATGAGTCTCCTGGACCAAATTATTGTTGGCATGTTGATGGTTATGATAAACTGAAACCTTTCGGATTTCCCATCCATGGGGCTGTTGATGGCGATAGTCGCATGGTAATGTGGCTTAAGGTAGATAAAACCAATAATGATCCAGAAATAACTGCAAAGTTTTTTTTAGATTGCGTTGTGGAGGTCGTTGGATGTCCTTCATTACTCCCAACAGACTGCGGAACAGAGAATGTAGTAATTGCAGGTACACAGTGTTTTTTAAGAGCTGACAGTGATGATGAGTTAGCTGGTGAAAATCACACCATTATGGTCCTTCCACTGGAAATCAAAGAATAGAGGCCTGGTGGGCCCATCTTCGCCGTAGTCGTCTAACATGGTGGATCAACTTTTTTAAAGACCTTGTGGATCGTGGGATATTTCTGACTGGTGATGTGCTCCATGGGGAGTGCATATGGTTTTGCTTTGCAGAATTAATCCAGCATGATCTTGTTGACCGGCTGGGAAAGCTTCCATCAAAGGAACAACAGCTTTCGAGAACACAACACTTTATTCTCAGAGCACATGCAGCCATCTTCGTTTTACACATACAATACGGCCCACGCGGAACACCGCTGACCCCTATGATACAACGACAGAATTATCTCCTATCAACATCCTCCCTTTCAAAGAAAACTATTAACATGTTAATATGTTTCGAAAAATAATAATAATAATACAAAAAAAAAAAAACAAATGTGAACAGGCAATGTCAGATAATAGTTTAACATCAAGTACCATACTGCACTCTAGTCTCCAGTTTCAAAGGTCCAGTCTCTTTGGTGGTCTAATTGGCCGGCCATAACGCGAGGTTTGCACTGGTGGAAGTGAAGTCTCATTCGTGGACTCGGAAGTGGGGTTAGGCACTATGGTTTCCGCAGAATTTCCGACATCCACACCACTATCTATTACTGGTTGTTCTGGCAAGGGTTGTGGGTCACATGTGACCTGACACTCATTAGGTCTTAAGTGGATCCTGTTCCGTCTAACTAACCCGTCTTGCGTTTTTATCACGTACGAGCGTGGTGTTACTTCGCCCAAGACTTCGCCGTGACCCCACTGTTCACCATGGTGATGGTCATTTGACCTGGTGTACACATACTGTCCAGGCGTTAGAGGGGGTAAGTCTCTGCTGGCAGTCTTGTCATAATGAGCTTTGGCTTTAGCTCGCCTACCCAGATGCTCGTCACGGACTACGTTTACAGGTGGCACAGATTGGCTCAACAATGATTCAGATGTTGGTAAGTTAGACTTTGTTCGTCGGCAGAGAAACCTTTGTGCCGGGGAGTAAGACATACCCTGAGGCGGAGTGTTCCTATGGTCTAAGAGACCAGTGCAGAGGTCTGACTTTTTTAACATCTTCTTGGCCTCTTTAACGGCAGCTTCAGCTTTACCGGTAGCTCTAGCATAATACGGTGACTGGGTAATCAACTTGAAACCATAGGTCTTGGCAAAATTCGAAAATTCCTGAGAGGTATACTGAGGTCCATTGTCGGACAAAAATATATCTGGTATACCATAACGGGCAAAGTGCGCCTTTGTGACTGAGATAACATTGGCAGCAGTGATGTCTTCATTCAACAGATCGACCTCAAACCAGTCACTGTAGTGGTCTACCGTAACAGAATACTAACGCCCACCCTGCTTGAATAGGTCTTGCGAGATAAATTTCCATGGACCTTGTGAAATTTCATGAGACAACATCGGTTCCTTTGGGAGGGCTGAGCCATAGTTAGCACACAATGAACATTTGGCACCCTCTTGAAGGATTGCAGCTTGCATTCCAGGCCAGTACATTACTTCTCGAGCCCGGCGAATCATGCTTTCACCGCCCTGGTGACCGCGGTGGAGTTTTTTCAGCATAGTAAACTGTAGCTTCCCGGGAATGAGGACTTTGTGTGACTTGTACAATACACCATTGTATACCGCTAGCTCATCCCTTAACGGATAGTAATGACGGAGTGCTGTGGGCACCTGTGATTTGTCGGAGGGCCAACCATGGGCCACGAACATACATAGGACTGACAAGGT